TTACTCCACTCTATTCTCCCTCAACCATTTTGTTTACTCCCTCGCTTTCCAAACTTATCTTCTGTCATATGAGCTTTGCATGTTACCACATTCCAACCACACTTGCACTTCCTGAAATCTTTCTGTCATTCCAGGCTGGTTCCACCACCTGGGAAATGGGAGAAACAGCTGCCGTGGGGTAGAAGCTGCAGGGCATGCCCTCCGCTCCCTCTTGCTGCAGCCACCCGCAGAGCAGCAGTACCACGGCAGCCCCCAGCAGCCAGCACAGCCTCCCACACCCTGCTCCACAGAAAAAATCACAGAGGTGTGTTTTTCAAAGGGAAGCTTTAGTATGGATGAGGCAGATGGTTTTGACCGCAAGCCTGCTAGTTCACTGTGCTTTGAAGACTAGACGTGGTTTGCCACTAGACTTTCTACAAAGCTGGCCCTATCCAAATAAAATGTTTATCCTACCACAAACTTCCAGTGAAATTCACTTGTGGCATTTTGTAACTCTCATTGCCATCTTTTGGAATTTGCCTTTGTATAGTAGACTGTAGAAAGTCAGGAAGGAATAAGGGGAGGTGAAGACAGAGGAACATGCAGAGGCTCCTCTGTCTCCTTTTGGACGCTGACCCCAAAGATACTACAGACACCTGCTCTTTCTTTGCTATGGTGTTACAAGTTCACAGTACAGAATCCTTGGTTTGGTCCAGGTGATGACTGTATTATTTATACTTAACGTGGGCAATGCTGATTACATCATGATAGCTGTTTTTCATTCACATGCATGCTGAGGTAGTCAAATTGATATGGAATCAATCCAGAATGATGGGGAAATTCCTACAAAAGTCAAGTTGGGTGCCAGTTACAAAGTATTTCCAGAAGAGTTGGAAGGTGCAGAGCGTAAGGATACGTTTTTGTCTTTTTTGGTATTTATTCAAGTGCAAAACATGACTCTTGCCTGAATTCTTCTCTCTGTCCAGATTTCAACCAAATAATTAGGATGTCTTAGATAGTTCTAATAGTTAGAGCTATGCTGATTGTAGGGTTTTTGTTTTAAACAATATTCATTTTAGACTGGACTACATTTTTTCATGCTACTCACTACTAAAAATACCCTCCCTGTTACCCAGTAAAACTACAGTGAAGCCTTAGTTCTAGTTTCAGAATTATATATATATATGTGCCTATATATGTATGTATTAGTTGCTGAGGAATGAATTTGTTGAATAGTGAGGGTCAGGGCTGCACCCATGGCTGAAATGTGTTCTTTATCAGCAGATCATTACAGTCAGCACTGCTCAGCATGTGAACTTCCTCACACCACTCTGCCAAAGCTCCCCACATGGCTGACCTGCCTGCTGACTTGAGCTTCAGGGAGCTTCCAGTCTCCATCTGGGGTTTCAATCTCACTGTACTGCTTGTGCCTATGTGATAGACCAACTTTTCCTTTCACTCGGCCCCAGCACAGGAAAATAAACCCCCAAAGGCCTGACTTGGAGACAAAGTTTCTCCACAAACAGCTCTGCTTTCTCTCACAAATTTGAGTGGGAGAAGACCAGGGTGTAACTGCCACCCCCTCCTTTCATTTTGCCAATAATATGAGCTGCTCAGCACACAATCATACGGACCTTCTGTAAATTGTAATCCCTGTAATTTGAATAATTGGTGTGTCCAGGCAGTGACTGTCATTTATAAATGTTCTAATAGAGGGGATCTATAGGAGCAAAAAAAAGTGGATTGGTTTGCTTTGAACAACTGGGGTATTTTAATACCAAGGGGTTCAAAAATAAACCTGCTTTAAAATACTGCATATTTTTCCTTCTCAGGTTCCCCCTTTTTTTTTTTCTATCCCACCTTTAAGAACTTTTCAGGCAATGGGAACAGATGAAATTTTTAAATCAGAGGTGTCCAGAAAATAGAAAGTCCTTGTCCGTTTCCTCCTTATTAGAACAGGTTTCCTAAAATATCATCCAATGACTATACAGAGATATATTAAAAGACTCTGAAATCTTATTTATATTCAGAATTTTATTGTTGGAGTTTGAGCTTTCACAGGGTATTAGAGTTGTCATTTGACTACCCTAAATGACATATCCAGGTTATATGGAAAGAGCTGTGCCTCTCCCCAGGAGATGAAGACTGTCCTGGCTCTGCTACCGTACCTAATTGTAGAGGGTAGAGTGCAACTGAGCAAATGGAGGTACCAGGAAACTTTAAGATTCAATACACAGACATACTCTGGTGGCTATTTATACAGGAGAGACAGTGCTCAGGCTGGATTTAGCTCTGAACATTTTATGATAACAAGCACTTTCCAGTCTGAGATGGTCAGACTACTTCAAAGAGATCTGCAAAAGGCAGCTAAGGAAAAGAAGTACGTCAATATTTTACATCAGTGTACATGTGTGAAATGTAAAGTAAAAAGGTCTGCAGCCTTCCCTGGAAGAATTTTAGGGACTCACAAACTGAAAAGATTTTAAATATTGATTTGAGAATATTTGATTTGAGTATTCAAAATTATTTGAAAATATTTTCTATTCTTTGGGAAAATGTAGTAGTCAACAAAGGCGAGCAGAGCTACATGGAGAAGCCAAAGCAAGACTGTGTGTTTAGTTACTCTAAGGTAGATGAAAAAGAGCTTTTGAGAAGATCAAAATGTCAGTTTTGTCAATCAGGAATTGCTCAAGACAGCCAATGTTGAAAAGGAAGGAATCATATTCTCCCTGCTTCTTCCTTCACCTCAGAAGTTTC